CACAAGCAAGAACCCGGCTCGAGACTGATGAGACGGAGAGCCCTCCTGCCACTGAGACTTTGATGGTTCCAGGGATGCCCACTGCCCTGGAGTGGTGGGGACCGGAGCCCCTCCTGCTGCATCCTGACTTAGTCCACTACAGGGCCAGCCTTAAACCACTCCATGCCTCCGAGATCACAAGGCAGAAACCGTTCAGCAGCAGCACGAATCCGCAGCCTCACCTGTATAAGAAACGTTTAGGTGTCACCTGGCTGCAGCTGAACCTGCTGGTGAGAAGAAGAAACATTTACCCAGGGCTGTGACCCTGAAGACTTTGGCTCTGATCTTGCTGTCTTAAGTTGTACTTTCACAATGCCCGGCGACCACACCGCTCCTGGGGAGCTGGTGCAGGGCAGGACACGTCTTCAGTCTGTTATGGCTCCTCCTTTCCCTTTCCCTCCACCTTTGGGTCTCTCTCCCATCTGTGAAAGATGTATTTGCTTGTTTCCTATGGCCTCTCTTACTTTGCTCTTTATTTGCACTTTGGGCTTCTCATTTCTGAGAAACCATGTGATAGGTAAGCCCACGAGGCTGACTTGTTTCAGCTGACCACGCAGTCTCCAGGTGACCCACGGTCCTGCGGGTGACTCAAGCCCACCCTTCAGTGGTGCTCAGGGTGACGAGGGCAGCTGGCAGCAGTGATTCGCTCAGCAGGTCCAGCGAGTCTCTGAGGACTGTGCCCGTGCCCCCGGTGCTTCGCACTACTGTAGCCTCCCATCCCCTGGACACAAAGCCTCTGGGCCTTCCTGGATGGACTCCAGGCCCTATTGCTTGATCCTGTGTCCCTTGGTCACCACTTTGTATCCAGCTGCGGGACTCACGAGGGTGCTACTGCCCAGTGCCTAGAGAAAGTGAGCTCTTCCTGCTGCACACACCCTGGAAGGAGGCTGGCCTGTGCACTCCACTTGCTCCTCGCCTCCTCCTGGGGCCAAGTAGCAGCTCCAGAGACGCCGCCCTGACCCAAATATGGGTCCACAAATCTGGGTCAATCCTTAAGCACCCACCAGTGCTCTCCACTGGCTGGTTTTCCAGCCAGCTGGGCACTGCCCTGACTGGCATCTGCTGTGTGTGTGTCTCCTCTTGGCAGCAACTTCCTGCGAGCTGAGCTCCAAGCTATGGGCTGTGATATTCATCCAATTCTCTAGCACCCAGAGCGTCTGGCATGCAGCAATGCAGTAAATAAGTGACCTGGAGGCTGAGACAGTGAAGTCGCTTAAAGAGAAAGCAAAGCGAGAGGAGGCCCAGGTGCCTGGGTGGCTTGCAAGGGAGCCTGCCCACTGACACCAGAAGCTACAGGATGTGACCAACTACGATGCCCTTCAGGTTTCAGCTGCTTCCTGGCTGGCACCTGTCAGGAGCCAGGACCAGGAGGACCCATCTGGCTGTGCCCCCTTCTCACTGCTGTCTCTCATGCTGTCTTTGTGCTTGTCTATATGTACAAAGAAGACAATGGCCACAATGTCCATAGGGTCATTCAAACATGGACACTTCTGCTCGGTTTGCAAAACACAGTCATTTTTAATTCAAATTTATTTTAGACTGGTAGGTAAAGGCATAAAACTTGTACATGCATATGGGTGCCTTGTGACCTCCTAATAGCTGCGTACATTGCACCATCTTTAAGACAGGATCTACGCATCTACATGATTAATTCTTCTTTTTTCCCATTCATTCTTTTGATGAAAACATCCAAGTCCTTTCTTCTACCATTGTGAAATGCAGGGGGCATTTTTCTTAGTTAGCCTCACCCTACCTAGCACACAGGGACACCCCTGTCGTTCACTCTATCACCACCGGTCAGCCTCTCTGCTCTCCCTCTCTTCCTCCCTTGCCACTCTTCTCAGTGTTTGAGGCCAACTGTTTGAGATTCAGAACAGCAGTGGAATCATATGCTACTCATCTTTCGGAGCCTGGTTCATTTTATTCCCAGAATGGTCTCCAGTTCCACTCACGTGGTCCCACATGACACAACAGTGTCCTTTTTTTTTACGCTGGATGCTGTGCCACTGTGCACATGTGATGGTTAAGCTTGATGGCATCAATCCGGCTGGCTTAGGTGCCACCGGGAGCCTGGAGGGCACACTTTCAGGTGTGCCCGTGTGGATCAGTGGTGCAGCCTTAGGTGCTATGTCTGGTGCCTGGCCCCTGCCTCCGGTGCTCTTCCTTGATCCACTTTCCAGCCACCATGAACTCCGCAGCTCTGCTCCCGCTGGCCTTTCTACCATGACGATTTCCTGCCTTGAAGCTCAGACCATGGACTGCATTCCCTTAAAATGAGAGCCAAAGGGAACCTCTCTCTTCCTTTAAACTGTGGGTGTTGGACATGATGTCCAACAACAAGAAAGCTGAAAAGCATGTTTACATTTTTATCCCTTATCTCCATTTCTTGGCTGTTAGGAATATCACTGCAGTAAACATGGGGGTGCAGATGCTCTCCCATTTCTTTTGGGCTGCTGAGTCTTCGGCAGTTCTGTTTTTCATGTGTAAAGAACTGCCATGCTGTTCTCCACGTTTCCAGCTCCAAACCCTTGCTTGCACTTGCCATCTTTTGTCCTCTGGCTAGAACCTTTCTCACTGGGGGGACATGATACCTCCCTGCAGCTCCAGTTTTTGATGGCTAGTGATGCTTACCATTGTGTCTCACATCTTTTGGCCACTGTGTATCTTTGCAGAGAAATGCCTATTACAGTCCAATGCCCACTATGAAGATTTTATTGTTCTCTGCTGTTTAGTTATTTGGGTTCCTTGTGCATTCGGGATGTTAATCACCTGGCAGATGTGGAATTTGCAAATATTCTCCCCCATTCTGCAGGCTGCCTTTTCCCTAGGCTGGTCGTTTCTTTTGCTCAGCATAAGTTAGATGTAATCCCATTTCTCTATTTTTCTTTTGCTTCTGTTCTTTGGGGTCTTCTCCACATGCCAGAGTCCTGAAGTGTTTCCCTGGAGTTTCTTGCTAGTGGTTTCAGTGTTCTGGTCTCACTCCATCCCTTATCTTACTCTACTCCAGGGCTGCCCTTAAACAGCTATGTTTTGGGGATCACAGAAAAGTAAGATAATATTTAGCAGATAGCATAGGACTGCAGTCTAATTTACATGACAACATTTCAGGGCTCTCTCTAACTCATTTCCTGTTGGGTTGTGTAACTGGTAAGTGACAGGCATTGTTTCCTTCTTCTGCATATGGATACCCGATCTTCCAAGCACCACTGCAGAAAAGCCTGACCTTTCTCCAGGGCATGACTCGGCACCTTCATCACAAATCAGTTTGCTGTGAATGTGGGGGTCCTCTTTTGGGGTCTGAAGCTTCCCTGTGGGTCTGTGTGCCTGTTTTTGCAGGCTTGCCCTACTATTTCGTTTACTGTAGCTTCATAATGTGGGTTTCAAAGTCAGGTTGCACAGTACTTCCTGCCTTGTTCATTTTGCTTGAGGTTGCTTTGGCTAACTGGAATTATTCTGTGTGCAATCTCTGGCTGTTTTGTGTTCATTCTAATTACTCAGCAGGTTTTGCCTGTAACTCTCTGATGTCTTTCTGGGCTGAGCAGGCTGTGCTCTGTGGCTGTCGGTGAGAGATCCCAGCAGTGACCTGACCCAGGTCCTGTCACCGTGGTGCAGTGTGGGTGTGAGCTACAGTGAGCACAGGATGATACCAAGCAAAGGAGAGGCTGGGAGGACCAAGTCCAGGGAGGCCTCAGAGGCAATCTCTGGGGCGCTGGGCCTTTCTTTTTCTTCCCTCTCTTCACTTTCCTTCCTCCCTCCCTCCTGCCTCTCCTCATTAGATTTTAGCAATTCCTTCAATCACTGCGAGTGCAGAAATGATGTAATTTTACTTGTGTTTCACTGGATAGAAAGCTGGACAGTGGTCAGAATTTAAGGGCTCAGTTTCCATCCAAATTCTTTCCACAGTGTGACTCTTGAGTAACTTTCATTCCCAGCAAAATAGGGGTAAGTGCTCTGCCTCTCGGGGTCTGGGTCATTGGGACTGGGCCAGAGAAGAGAGCACACTTCCGCTGTGAGCAAAGCTGGAGAGTGCTTGCTCACCTTGGAATAATTATCAGCCTGGCGCGTTGGAAAGGAGCAGCCAAGGCAGACCCACCAAGTGCCCCAGCCACAGGATCTCAGGTTCAGTCACACTGCAGGAGCCAGCCCAATCCCGGGGACCCTTGTGCTGGCCGCAGGACAGAGGGGCCCAGGGCAGAGAGAACCAGGGCTGGGGAGGGGACAGACCAGGGCTGGGGCAGCACCCACATGTTGCTCATGCTCAGCTGCAGGCTCTTGTCACTTGAGAGCTTGCCTGAGGACACTGAGGTGACCACAGGAAGTCGGCCTCGTGTGGACGTTGGTCCAAAGTCTTGGTGTGACATCGTCTGAAGACCCTCAGTGTCCCTAATTTAGCCAGGTTAGGACGATGGCTCCGTGCACTGCCATTTCACATGGTGCAAGCGGGCATTCCTTCCGTGCCTAGAGTATGGTAGATTTTAGTGTATTTGAAGTGTCGTCTTCCAAAGTGGCTAATAAAAATGTTTACAGGCATGCGGAAAATAGATTCCTTATTTTTTAATGCAGTAAGTGTGCTTGCTATATTTAAATGTGATAATTCAGAGAGCTCTCGATACCTGAGCTGTTTCTTTCTGCTGATGGGTGAGACAACACGAACCTATGTGATCTGTGATTCTGAATAAATCACAGATCAAAAATTTTTTATCAAAAATTCTGTATAAATGTGTTTAAAAGTGACAGACTATGTAATTTTCACCATTTAATGTTTTTCTTTTTGTTCAATAATGTTGTGGCAAAATTTGATGACTATTACATTGACCAAAGATTTGGTTGAGGGTTATTATCAATTGCCTTAAATGTCATAATATTTGATTTGATAAGTTTTGTTGTTTGTTTCTAACATGATCCAAATTTTTCAGTATATGTGATCACAGAAGAACAATGTTTTCTAAAATTTATTTTAGGTTTTGAAACTAACCTGAACCTCACCAGCCAGGATGATCCCAGTACATCAGAAATCGCTTCAGAGGCTCAAGATAGAAATGCAAACAACCATGGAATTCACTTCTCTAATTCACTCTCCAGTGCTATAACTGCTGAAAATGGAAATTCTGTCTCAAATGGTAAGCAATTTTAAACTCAGAAGTAAATGCACAGAAGTTTGAAACTGTGACCTTTCGAGGAAGAAGAGATTTAAAATATAGAGGTACAGAGGCTTAATACCCAGAAAATAGAATTTAGGCTGTGAAACTCCACTAGAGTATTATTGTCAGAATTTTATGGTTTATGTTGGGGATTAGAATTTCATTCACTAGTTGGAGAATTTTCAGAGATTTTATACAGTATTGATCCATTAGAAGTGGCATAAAATTAGTTATATACTGAGAAGAAAGAGGAGATAGATGTTCTACCAACATTGTGTAATTAAAAAATACTTTCCCATAACTAAGAAATGTGGTGGAAAATAATATTAAGGGAATGGTAAATGTCAAACTGCTTTTAGGGTTTTTGTTTTGTTTTTTGGATTTTTTTAAGTGCAACAATGAATATATGATTTATAAATTAACTTGACTATATATGTCCAAAACTCTGTAAATAAATATTTTCTCTCATATATAAAAGGAAGCCGGGTGAAAAAGATCAGACCAAATTTTCCATGAAAACATTCAAAAGAACTGGACAAATATTTTCTGCAGTCTGATTAGAAGCATCTGGAAGCACCAGGACAGTGGTGGGGATGGATTGCTGTGGGCTCTGGGGGTGCTCGAAGTGCAGCAGTATCACATGACTCACCCCGGAGATACTGCACATACTCGCAGGGCGCAGTCAAGAAGCTCCTGTGCTCCTCGGATCACCAGGGTAGGGACCAAGTCCTCAGCCTTCAGGTGCAGCTGTGAAGTGTTCACCCTGAAAGTCATTGCACTGGAACTGGAACCACAGCTCAGCTGTGCCTTATTTAGCCTCAGTGTTGGACAGAGGAGTCCTGGCATGGTGGGGTCCCCAAGTGCTTGGGAGAAACACATGTAGATATATCTTTAAGGACAGGAAAGGCAGCACAGGATTCAAGATATTCTCATGAACCAATTTTCAGAAACAAAGTACACCACACCATCAAAAATAACCAGACTCAAGAGGCCAGGTATACAGCTCAGTGGCATATGCACCTGCCTGGCAAGCATGAGGCTGTAAGTTCGATCCCCAGTATAAAAACATTAATAACCAGACATAATAAACCAGGAAATCACTGCTTGTTGTTGTCACAGCAGTCAGCTGTAGGACATCCATAGTCACTGAAAAGACGGTAGAGCAGTCACATACGTGTTAAAAGTATGTATATGTACCCTGCCCAAACAAATAAAAGAACAGCAGAAATGGAGACTCAAAGAAAGTTATCAAATGGATACCACAAAGTTGAAAAACACAATAATAGAGTGAGACAGTCCTTTACAACAAAACAAAAACCTCCGGGGAAGCAAGAGATAGAAAGGTAGAGGGCATCTCCAGGGCAAATGACACAGAAGCAGAAGAAAGAACAAGAATTCTAGAAAGTGATTGAGAGGCATTAAGAGCACAGTGAAGGGGGTTACTAGAGGGCACACACGTGTGGAAGACAAATTTGGCAAGAAGTCCCAACACGAAATAGAGAATCAGAAAGTAGATACAGTGCAGGACTCTAGCATTCTGGCACCCTGGGAGGCTGAGGCAGGAGGATAGCAAGTCTGAACCCAGCCTGGAAAACTTAGTGACTTAGCAAGAGCCTGATTTAATAAAAAGGACTAGAGAGGATGTTGCTCAGTCCAGATCCTGGGTTCAGTTCCCAGTATGAGAGACAGAGAGAGAGAGAGAGAGAGAGAGAGAGAGAGAGAGAGAGAGAAAGGAAGGGTAAGGGGAGGGAGGGCGAAAGGAAAGGGTTATACTGTTTGACCTACACATTCTGCGTGACTCCGCGATCTTGCTTCTCGCTATGAAATGAAAACCCTACAGCCCCCTCCAGCTGGTGTATATGTACCCTGCTACACAGGGTTACCCTCTGCTACACAGCACAGTAGCCTCCAAGCCTAGAGGCTTCATCTCCTGAGGGTCAGCAAGCTGGGGATGGGGCAGCCACAGAGGCCGCTCATTGGCAGCATTAAATCACCAGCCGGACCTGGAGTGGTCTTGAGGCTTGATGAAGGAACGTGCATGGCACATGACCATTGGCTAGCCTCAGACACCCCTGTCCAAGTCTACAACACAGGCCTCTCCAGAGGGTCATCTCACACAGGGCAGGACTCCAGGAGAGCACTCCCGGAATGGAAGCCATATCTCAGCATGACCTGGTGTCAGGAGAGATCACAGGCCCTGCCTCACTCTGTCTGCTGGAAGTGAGTCATTGATCCGGACTCACATTGATCCATGGGCTCCGTGGGGGTGAGTGCCCAGGGTGGGCATTGCAGGGGCATCCTATAGGCTGACCCAGCACATGGGCAAACTCCTTGAGAATGAGCTGCTCCCATGCACATGTATACACAAAATCAATGGCATAGTCAGGCATGGTGGCGCAATCCTCTAGTCCCAGCACTTGGGAGGCTGAGCCAGAGAATTGTTGCAAGTTCGAGACCAACCTGGACTACAAAGTGAGCATATAGCCAGCGTAGTAAACTGCTACATAGTGAGATCCTGTCTCAAAAAGACAAAAAAAAAAAAAAAAAAAATCAGTGACACAGGTTCATCTGCATGAGTGAAGAAAGTCAGAATCGTCTAAGAACCACAGCTGTGATTCTGCTTGCAAGGCGTGATCAAACAGTACAGTGGATGCATAATTTAAAGCAAAAAACTTCTTACGGTAAAACACACAATGCCACCAACCCCTTCAAACCCCCCCATCGCCTTGAACACACTTTTCCTGTAGATCTTGCTGCTTCCTGCAGCAGCACTGGAGGCCTGAGAGACCGATTTGACTCAACATGTTCACCTCTTGGGGTCTTTCTGACTCGGGAAGTCCTAGGAGCTGAACAGCATTAGAGCCAGTGAGCAGATGGGTGAGGACATGGTGTGATGTTTTTATTTGACAGAAATTGCCGTAAATGTTTTGAGTTGATTTGAGACGTCAGGTCCACCCGAAAAGAACTTCAGGAAAGAGGATGCCAGAGCTGCTGCAGGAGGTGGTGAGAAGACTGGGACGCATTCATCTGAAGCAAGGGGAGGATTTTGAGTGGAATGATGGCAATGCGTCTTTTCCTGTAGCGATTTTTTAAATTTTTAATTAAAATGCTCATTGCACATTTTGGTCCAACCTTGTATTCATACTTCTGCAAAAGCAGAACGATGGATACAGAAAGCAGATGAGAGACTGCCCAAGTGTGGGGGATGGCAGGAGAGGCCTGCAGGGGACCTCGGGGTACTGTGGACTGAGGTGAAGGTGCTCCTGCAGATGTGGAGCTGGAGCCTCTGCGATGCCAAAACTCCTGGGCCTTCCCCCACACCGTGCCCAAATTTAACCCAGGACACATCTACATTAGACTTCCATCGGCCCAACCTTGCCCAAAACCTATGCAGAAGTCTGAGCAGATAAATAAGAAATCGACTTCCAGGCCCAGCACAGCCAGATTCTTGGAAAATACAGAACCTGGGAAACCTGGGGGGCAGGCTGAGGTGAAGAGGAGACGTGTTCCTACTGCAGGGCAAAGCCAGCGCTGGTTTACAAATAACAAGGACAGCAACAAAATCCTGCGAGAAAACAGACAGTTTCAGGGGGGAAGGAAAAGGGACCAAACATTGCCCCTGAGAAGGTTCAGAGAGATGTAATAATCAAGCCAGGGGAGGCACGAAAAGCGAAACTTGTTGCCCCTTGGCAGCTCATGGGGAGTCTGGCCGAAGACAGGAGGGAGAGTGTCCATGAGCATGGCGACAGAAATGCAGCTCAGCTCTGCGGTGGAGTCCACGCTCCCTCGGGGTCCCTGATGGCCAGGTGGAGGGCCTCTGAGAAGGAGCCCACCAGGGAGGGGGGAGATTTCCCTCTGAGGATACCGCATCAGTCATGCCTGGGCAGGGCGTGGAGAGGGAAGGGCTGGACCTCCAGGGGCTGACAAGGTTGTCACCTGCCTTGTGTGGTAATGACACCCCCGAGATGAGAGACCAAGCAAAAAATGAGAGACACGAGAGGAAGGAGGACGGGAATATCCCTTCACCAAAATATTCAGTGTTTTCTGAAGTTTAAGCGAAAAGACAAAAAGCCACAGCTTGGGGAAATGATCCTTGAACAGTAAATTCAAAACTCTCAGCTGACTATAAAGGTGGAAACACGGCCAAAACCAACCGAACAAACAAAAGCCCTCTAGAGCCAAATGGAAACATTGGTGGTGAGCTCTCCTTAAAATTAATAACATGAAAATAAGTCTCCAGGAATGCCCGGCCTGGGAACATCAGCGTATAACAAGCAGTGGGTGCCCAAGGCCTGGAACACAGATTTATATCTTCTTCCTTAAATGCTTACAGGGCTGGATTTTAAAATTCGGCCCTTTCCCTGTTGTCATTAATTGACGATCGCTTGAAACTCTAGAGAGTTACAGTGCCAAAGGGAAATTACTGCCTCGGAAACCCGGTCTTTCAAAGCAGCTTGCTTGACAGGTTTATGCCAATGTGGCTTCATGAGTACCATGAATTTCTGGGTGCCTGTAACCTTCCGGGATGACTAAGCTGTCCAGCCTCACTCCCTGGATATGGGGGCACGAGGAAGCTCTGCTGATGGAACAGCAGCGCAGGTCAGGAAGGACCCGGATGGCAGAATCACAGAAACTGAGTCCGAACTATCATAACAGAACCATAGGGGCTTCTGCTCCCTTCACTGGGAGCTTGACCAGGACCACGACAATCACCAGCATAGAAGCATCAGCCCCACTGATCCTCCCTGTCCTTTCTAAACAGAGCCCCAAGGTGAAGGTAAACGTTTAAAATAAAGTTCAGAGTGAACCGGAAACTGGGAAAGAGGTCTCTTCGGGTGCCAGTATCAGCCGCCCCCCTGCACCCAGAAATAATGATCTGTTTGTTTGTTTGCTGAAATGTGGCAATATGCGGGTAATTACAGCTGTCGCTTAGTTAACTGCCACCCTTCTGCTGCTGAGAACTAGATCTCTTCTGTGTACTTAATTATTCCCTGGACTGACGTTATTTATCATTTGATTAGAGAGCAGTTTTTAGTCATAGGATGCTTTTAGCTATATCAAACAAAATAATGTGAATATTTCATGTTTGTTTTGTGGAAAAAGAAAGACATAAAGATTTCCAGCATGGATATTTTATCATTAGTGTGATTTTCTGTCTCATCGCCCAAGGCATATAAGCCTTGATCCTGGGCAGCAGGAAAAGTGGTTGCTCAGTCCACATGGCCATCGAGCTTCCATGAGGTGGTACCTGGTCCATCTGTGCTGTACATCCTCACTCCGCTGGTGGGAAGGATTCCCTGTGCCGAGGGCAGGCTTGTGACGGGAAGCACTGTGGGGCCTGGTCACAGCCAAGTGCTCACCATGAGCTCAGCTGTTGTGAGGACACAAAGCCACGACCCCATCCGCCGGACCTTGCAATTCAGCCACGACTCTGCCCGGCGAGCATATGGCCTCACTGTGTCCATGGGTGCTGGGCTGAGTTCTCAGAAACTGTACTGCTGTTGTCTGACTCAAAGCTCCAAGGCCAGGAAGGGAGGCAGCCTTCCCTGAATGTGCTAAAGTGTACTATAGCTGGCTATTTCAAGCGGATGCCTTTGTAGAGAAAGCGAGCCCCGGCACCTGCTAGCCCTGCTCCTGCTCCTCCCAGGGAAGAGCATTTTGAAGCCATATTAAATCCTGTCTGCTTTGAACCTCACTTGATTAAATTTTCTCCTCTCCTTGGAAATGGATGGATCAGGGTAACCATTCACTATTTTTGAGCAGTGTGACATTGTTTCTGGGACTTAAGGGGTTTTCCCGCCCCACTCCCCAGCTCTGACACCTGATTACTTGACTTCTCAGCCTTTCAGCTTTCTTGTCTTAGAAGTGAATGTGATTTAAAATCCACCTTACAGATTGCTGTGGGATTTTTGTAGGATAGGACTAGTACAGAGTTAGTGCTCAGTGGATGTTACCTGTATGCAGTTATCATAGAATCCTCCAGGATTTTAGAGGTAGAAGAGTCACGTGGATTTTCCCAATAAAGATAGAAACTGTATGCAGTGAACAGATGAGATACAAGGTGGTGAGTTCAACTTTCCAAGACTGCAGGCTGCAATGCCTGTTCTGAGGCTTCGGCACTTATCCACAGCAGGCATGTGAGTAGCCAACCTTGTGCCATTTTAATGGCCTATCTGCAATTTGGGGAAGTGACGCACAGTACAGTTTGGAGCCTCTGGGATGAATAGGAGAGTCTGGGGCACATTCAGGAGACGTCTGTCTCACTCCTGAGCTGGAGGTTGAAGTAACGCACAGGGCAGAGTGGTTAAGAGGGGTCCTCGTGGAGGTGCAGGGCACATGCCGCAGACAATGTCTGTCCAGCTCGCCAGTGGCGTGTAGGTATTGTGGGGGGCAGGGATGAGTGGGGGAGGCATAGTGATCACTATCTGAGCCACACGGATCACCAATCCTGTGAACACAGAGCGTTGATGATACCTGCAAGAAAGATACCAACCCGGGCATTCCACTCAGCCACTGCCCCTTCTACAGCTATCTGTGCATCAGCATCAAAGACAGGTTATAGGCTTTCCCATAAGACTGTGGATTAAACCTTGGGTTAAGCCTATGGCAGTGATCCATGCACACCAGGGTCTATAGAAACACGACTCACAACAGCTCACCCTTGGCAGCAGCTTCTATGCCCACCAACAGATGAATGGATTAAAAAAAAAAATGGGAGCGCTACTCTGCCATAAAGAAGAATAAAGGTGAGGCATTCATACGAAAATGGCTGCAACTGAGGCCACCACATTAAGTGAAAGGAATTGGACACACAAGCTTAGCTATCACGTGGTTTCTTTTATACAACAAACCAAAAGTGTAAATAGGAGCAACATGGAAGACAGATAATGGGGAACCAGGAGACAGGTCTTTTACAAAAGGAGAGGGGACCAGGAGATGGGAGAGGCCATAACAAGAATTAGCATGACTTAAGTGATGCTCCAACGCCATGATGAGCAAGATCACTATGTGCCATGAACACGGATGTTGTGAATTAAAAACTGGTGGTCAATTAACCTCAGCTGGACTGAATCAATGTGGTGCTGAGCGTGGAGGGCCGACCTGAGAACTGCTGCCATTATAAAAAGGAGAAGTAGGGAAGAGTGATGTTGCAGGTTCTCCTAAGTTTTGTTGTTGTCTGGAGCTTTTGGTTCCCCTGCAGGAACTTGTTATGCTGGCTCCCCTGATACGAATTTGGCTATTATCATCAGAGGAGCTCGGCACCTGGTCTCTGAGGATGGCTGCGGTTCCCTTTGAGGGAGCTCTGGTCCTTACTGTGAGCATCGCTTCCTGCTCTGGATAGACTTTCTAGCTTCCACCACTGACCTTGAGGCCTTCCCAGAGCAGATCCATGAAATAGAATTTTATGGGTCACTGTCATGAGTTTTAGGCCTCCAGTTGGACTCGTGGGAACCATTGAAATGGGCTCTAGGTCTTCAGCTGAACTCAACAGGATATTGCCATGGGGTCCAGGCCCTCAGCTGGATTCTCTGGGTCTCTAGTGTGTGGACAGATTTCCAGCACTTTCTTTGTATTTCTCACTCCTTGGTTGACCATTATCAATAATACTATAAACTATGTATCCTGTATATAACTGTTTTCCTTGCAATCTCTGACTACAACGGACTAATAAAAATCAGAAAACCCAGGGCATCAGTGGCGTCACTAGAGTCAGGAAAGCGTCCCACGGAGGAGTCTTCTTTCCACACAGTGGAGGGGGAGCACCGTCTTTAAGGGTAGCAGCTGATGGTTCTGCTGGGTGCAGAGCAGGACAGGAAATAAGATCCAGGGTGCCCGGCCAAGAGCCCTGAGGGACTCTGGGAATTAGAGGCACCAAGGACACGCAGGACTCTTGCAGATGTGGGAGTCGAGGAGGAGGCCGACTTCAGGGAAAGGAGGACAGCGGGCACAGGCTGCTCACATCCAGATGATGATGTCACACCCAGAGCTCAGGAGAGGAGGGGATGAAAGCCTAGGAGAGGCAGGGTTTCCAGCTAAGCATGAGGAAGAACTTCCGGAGGGCGAGGAGAGGAAAGAAGGCCGCACAGCAGGGACACAGTGGGACAAACACTTCCACGCCTCTCCGGTGCCTTTCTTCGCACTGCTCCCCTTCGGTCAGTGCGCCTCCTCTTCTGCTGAGGGGCACCGACAGCGCTTTGCCTTCCCAGCTTCACCATGAATCTAGTATTCTGTTAGCGCTGCCATTTGCACCCATGGGAAGCCGCAAGGCCAGTCTCTTACCACTGGGACAGAAGTCACTTGACTGGGGGCATTTGGCCCATGCTGACCTCTGCCATGTGGACCCCACAGGTCTCGCTGAGGATGATGGGTATTCACGCGTGTGTGTGAGCAGCACCGGGATGTCGTCGTTCCAGAGACCTCGGGAGAGTCACACCACTCAGGTAAGGACCCTGGTGCCCACCTTCCCAGCGCCAAGTGAACTGAGCCTCTGATGATGTCCTTCTCTGTGGAGAGCTTGGTTATCCCCACCTTCGCCCTGCGGTCCTCCACCTGTTCTCTATCTTGGCAGACTCCATTTCTGCTCATTTCAAATAATAATAATCATCATAGTAATAGTAGTAATAATATCCAACACAACTAAAAATTAATTGTTTAATCTGATTATCACAGACATAATGTACGTTGGAGTTGAAAGTCGCCTCGTAGTGTTATAAAGGATAACAAGGTGAAGGATGGGGGGGTGTTAGGTGTTTTCTGCACCCCAGCGTTGTTTCAGTAACACCCTAGGTAGGGAACCCCCAGGTCCAATGAGCATGCAGGTCACAGAAACCTCCTGTGTGCAGGGGATATCAAATCAACCTCATTGTGTCTATTTAGTCTCTGAAATGTCAGCAAGGAAAGATTATTTAGGAGAAAATAAGGACTCTGGTTGTTATGGTTCATATCTGGATGTCCCCTCACTCCTAACTGGATCAAGGGGTGCTGAGCTTTTGAGTGGACTGACACCAAGTAGGAGGTGGGGTTTGGTTGGACAGGTTGTCCTTGGGGCCTGACCTGAAATGGCTTCTCTCCCTCCCAACTCCTCCCTTCTCTCTACTTCCTGCGCCCCCATAAGGTGAGCAGCTCCCCTCCACCCAACCCTTGCACCAGGGGCCTCTCTGCCTGGGCCTGACCAATCATGTAAGAAGGGAAGCTTCTCAACTGTGGGCTAAAATAAACCTCTGTTCCATTAAGTTGCAGGTGTTGAGTAGGGAGTCCCAGGGAGGTGAAGCTGACTAATGCACTCACTAGTTTACCTCTAGAAAGTGAAGAGATTTCTGTAACAGAATTTTATGTTCTTTTCTGTGGACACAGTATTTTTTGATTTGTTAATACATGTTTGCAGTACATGAATGTTACATCCATCTCAGGAAGCAGATGCATGCACATAACAAGGCTTGATTGGTTTTTAACCCCCTTCCCCCACTCAGTTCCTAAATCCCCTTCCCATTTCCAGTCTTCTTCTTGTTATTATTAGTGTGTGTTTATCACATGTAGCATTTGCATACATCATGGATATTCGGTGCTTAAAGTGACACATCTTATATCTTTTTACTTTCCTTTTCCTCTCCCTCATCCTCCTGGACCCCTTCCCATTTGCAAAAGATCTCTCTTCTTGTTTCCTTCTATCACTGCTGTATTTTAAAAAATGTTCCTTTTAATTACTATTTAAAATATAATATGTTTCTTTCTAGGAGGTGCATAAACCAACAATTGTAGGCACTTTATTATCAATACATTAAAATATTATTGCTTTGGCAACAAAATTCTTGTATGGCATTAAAGTATAATTTTATTGTGTCATACATCTGCACGAAACAATCTTAAAAACTCAGCTAAGAATGCAGACGTCTGCATAAAATCAGCTACCCAGTGTATGAGAGCTTCCATTGGACTCTTTGGAACTATGTCAGCATGGCCTCATTATCAGCTGAGATTTTTCTAAATAACATTGATGAGGTGGTGAAAAAAATCAATAATTTTAATCTTAAAAATAAATCTTACAGTAGGCAATCTGCTGAAGTCACCAGCGCTGATATATAGGCACTGACAGAGAAGGAAAACGCTGATTGGTGTGGTAATTGGTCGCCCTCATCTCCTGTCTGTCCCGTGGGGAGACATTTCCTCACCTGAGAAGCCCTGCAGATGCTTGGGCTGTAGTTGAGCCCCACTGGCCCTCCTGATAGTGAACAGTGGTTGGGCTGTCTTGGAGTGGGCTGTCCTGCTTCAGAGCCCAAGGACACGATGCCTGGTGCCTGTGCCACTGCTCCGTGGCTCACAGAGGAAAGGAACCAATTGGAAATAAGGTTCATACAATAGGCATCCCAGATCTATTTAAGATCATGGATTCATCTAAGAAGCAGAGAGAAAGGAGAAGTCACCAGGAATCACACATACATTTCCAGTTTTCCAAGGAGTCTTGTTTTTAAACACAAACAGCCTGCAGGAAGCAGAAACTAGTCACCTTACAGGACCTTTTTCCCCAAGGAAAGGGTAAACCATGCTCCCTTTTTTCCTTGCAAATTGCAGGTGCTCACAGGCTGGAGCAGACTGCTCACCCCTGAGAAGCTTGGAGTTACATGACACTCACACATGGTCACATGTATTCCAAAATTTGCCTGTGCTGTTATGTTTGTGGAGGAGGTAGGGACACAGAAAGGACAGGCTGCATCCTGGATCCCTAGTGGTACCTCACAATAGTGAGTCTGTAAAATCTGTCCAGCACCCAGGACAGGGTTGGCTTCCAGCAGTGAAATCAAACACTGTGTGAGCCAGAAGCAGAATCCCTCTTTGAGAGTGTCTGTGTCTTAGTTAGCATCATCAGGAATTTTAATGGCATCCCCTTAAGCAGGATAAGATGTCTATGGTTCTTATAGATAAAGAAAAGTGGGAAGCCATTGAGCAATTTGCCTAGGGTCATACGGGAAGTTCCCAGCGTCAGGTTTGAATAGATGTCAGGACCACATGTGCCAGTGCTGAGCGTGAAGCAGCTGTAAAACCCACTGACGGGGGTGGGCCAGTCATAAAAGTTAAGAATTTTTGGTTCAGAGATGAAAGTCTGCAGTAGCCACAGACGACCCTTGTGGACTTGGTTTTATTGGCTTCCAGTCTCGCTTTTGAAATTTCTTGCCAGCCACAGTGAGGAGCAAGGGGAAAGGGTGCCTCCCTCCCTCCTCTCATTTACCAATCTCCGTGGCTCAGTGGTTCTGTCTCCCATGGGTGCGGGGTGAGAGGCATAAACTATAAGGATGGAAAGAATCCAGGTGGCCCTGGGTCACTGGAGGTAGGGCAGGGCTTCTCTCTCCAGGGACAGCAGAATATTAAAGTACAAATGCCCACCTCACACCTGCTCCTTCACCACCCATGAACCCCCGCCTCCCAGCAAAGCCACTGTACCCCACTAGAGGCACCCAGAGTTCATTTCTGCTGCTTGCAAATAAGAATCTTGACTGACATGCTAATTCAGTTGCTATTATCCATAAAATCCATTTTGCATTCAAAAGTGTATTTTTTACACTAAGTCTACGAGCTCTTTATTGGTGCCTAATATAGATGTAAAACCCTATCTAGAGACGCAGCCAAAGATACAAAATACAGAAAATGTGGTTTATGTTGTGTTCCATCATAATTTTTTACTAATTTGTGCAATATAATGGCTTTCCATAAAAGGAATAAAAATTAATTTTGCTGAAATTAGCCAAACACTGTGAAGGCTGTGACACGAGCTGTGCCTTGCAAGTGGCTAGAAGGCTCGCTTTGCCCACACCGTGGCCGCAGTTGCATTCTTAACTATTTCAGCCCTGGGTGCCAATGAGACCAAGAGAACCGGGCAGCTTGGGGTCCACACCCTGCCCCAAAGGGAGCACAGTGGGCTCTGGGTTAGCATTTACAGCAGTGACGCGGCTGTCAGCTGCATACCTTTTATGAGACTTGAATTGTTTTTTTGAAGCCTATGCATCCAGGGCAGGGCACGGTTCCCAGACTTAGGGGAGGAAGACGCTGGTGTTGTGGAAGAGCTGTTCAACACACTGCGTGGACTCCAGGGCCTGGACCCCCACTTAGAGCATGTAGAGCAGGGCTGGCTCCGCGTGGGGTGGGCGTGGGGGTCATGGGCAGGATGCCAACTTGCTTGCTGGGGCGTGAGCATTGCTGCACACACGTCTCTGAGGGTGCCCTGCTTGCCACTGGGGGTGAGCAGCCCTCCCCTCTCCTCTCCTCTACTCTGAGATGGTGCCTTGAATTTATCTTTCAGCCTTACCAACCTTCCTCTCCCCTTTGTATTGTGCCTAGCTGGTTCTTTCCACAGTAATATTGTGCGCTTTCAGAATGCTTGTTTTCATTATGGGGGTTCATTCTATTTCCTACCAAACTGAAAAGCATTCTCTTTTGTTTTTTATTTTTCTGGGTTTTGTTTTTTAAGAGCAGAAGCTAGCCACATTTAGCTACACATGCTTATATTCTTGGCATCTGGAAGGCTGAGGCAGGAGGATTGTAGCTAGCAGTCAGTCCTAGCAACTTAGCAAGGCCCTGTCTGAAAAGAAAAACAAAACCTGAGGATGTTGTTCAGTGAAGAACCCCTGGGTTCAATCCTTAGTACAACACACACACACACACACACACACACACAAATGCACACCAGACATTATTATGAATATTGTAAATATTCAAATGCACATCTTAAGAAATCACTGACAGTCCTTGATATAGTGGTGTATTCACCCAGTGCTCAAGACCTTAATAAATATCAAGCCTGTTTCTGACATAGCTGCCGATAAAACCCAGAATACAATCAATATGCAATTGATCCCCATCAGAAGTAAACGGTTATGTGGTTTGCTCTAATGAACCGTGGAGGAAAGCATTTTGCAGTGCCGCATGTATCAGCAGAGCTAAGTCTCCAAAGGACCCAGAACGTTCCGTACCTGTTTTCTGTGCCCCTTTTGTTTTTCCTATGGACTACTAGAAACATTGTGTAGCGTGGAATCAGAACAGACCGTGCCGGGCAGAATGAGGAAATGTGGACACATGTAGTTTAATCATTAAGAATGACTCTGCAGCACATGCCAGGGAGCAGAAATTAGACGATCTTTTCCAAAGCATCTCTGTATCTATCAATCTCTATCTGTCTGAGGTACAGTCGGGGGAGACGAGCACAGGAAGCGTTTTCAGAGAATCAGTATTCACTGCTCGTCACTTACGACTTATGAGCGAGAAATGAAGGCAGTAAATTAATTTGATGACATGCAGGAAACGCAGCGTTCTCGACAGGGAAGGGCACGTCCTGTGCAGGCAAATAGAAACGTGCAAAATAAAAAGCAAACCCTCTGTCTCTTTTTCCCTTCCTAACACTGCAGCAGATGTAAATCCTCATGCTGATGAATGCATGGTGTTTTCTCACAGA